CTCTCATGATTTCTATTCAACATCATACTCTAAGATCTAGCTAATGCAGTAAGACAAGAAAAGGAAATGAAAGGGTAGACAGAGTGAGAAAGAAGCAATGAAACTGTCTTTATTTGCATATGAGATGATTAATCTACGAAGAAAATTCTAAAAAATTAACAAAAAAAGTCCTGAAACTATTACGTGATTATAGCAAGGTTGCAAGATAAAAGGATAATACACAGAAGTGAACGGCTTTCCTGTATACCAGCAATTAATATACACAATCCAAAAATCATGCCCCTAAGTATTTACCCAAAAAAGCTGAAAACTTATAAACACACAAAAACTTGTACACAAAAGTTTATAGCAGCGTTATTAATAATTTTCATAACCTGGAAACAACAATGATGTCATTCGGTAAGTGAAGGGATAAACAAATTGTGGTGGCACACCCAGGAAATGAAATATTATTCAGCAAAAAAAAAAATCAGGTATCAAGCAATGAAAAGAAATAGAGGAGCTTTAAATGCATATTGTTAAGTGAGGGAAGTCAGGCAGAAAAAAGTACATACCATATAATTCCAGTTATATGACATTCTGGAAAAGCTAAAATGTATCCAGTAAAAGGATCAGTAGTTGCTACATGTTCATGGTGAAGGGGCAAGAATAAGGCAGGAATAAATAAGTGGAGCAAAGGGTATTTTTAGGGCAGTGAAACTATTCTGTATGATATAGTAATGGTGGGTATATAATATTATATATTTGTCAAAACCTGTAGAACTATAGAACACAAAGAGTGAACTCTAACGTAAATAATGAGTTTTAGTTAATAATGTATCAATATTCATTCCTCAACTGTAATAAATGGACTGTACTTAAGCAAGATTGTTCATAATAGGAGAAACTATCATTAGGTTGTGCACCTGAAATTAATACAATGTTATATGTCAAATGTACCACAATAAAAAGAAAGGAAGGAAGGAAGGAAGGGAGGGAGGAAGGGAATGAATGAATTTGAAAAATAGGGGAAACTGTGTACATGTACGTGAGCGTCTGTGTAAAGGTATACAGGAATTCTGTCATTTCTGCTCAATTTTTCTCTAAACCTAAAACTGATCTAAAACAATAAAGCCTAATCGTTTTTTTAAAAGTGTCATTAGTCCTTTATAAATTTTCCTTTTTGTTCTATCCAGCCACTGGCACCAGCAACCCACCTGGATCAGGTGAAGATTTAATCTACCTTGCAATATAATTACAACATCTCTTTAAATTTCACTTTTCAGCCCTGGCCAGTTTGGCTCAGTGGACCGGGGTTTGGTTCCCGCTAAGGGTACGTACCTCGGTTGCAGTTTGTCCCTGGCCCTGGTTGGTCGTGTGGGTGGCAACCACACAATGTGTCCCTTTCACGTCAATGTTTCTCTCTCTCTCTCTCTCTCTCTCTCTCTCTCCCTCCCTCCCTCCCTCCCTCCCTCCCACTCTATTTGAACAAAAAATGGAAAAATGTCCTCAGGTGAGGATAAAAATAAATTTCACTTTTCAGATACTTATATCATGTACTTAGTGAACAACTGAACAGATAATTGTTTCTATTCAATAAAATCAACATCTACTCACTCAAAGTGAAAAACCAAGTTATCTTTGGCTCCTTCTTCCCCCATAATAAACCATGACACCTCTTTGATTGTCTCAATAAAAATTTCTCTAAGATTTTCTTATTCCATTACAATGCCACTGTCACTCCAACTATTCTTTTGAAATAGTAAAGATTTATATCCTCTTTTTTTACCCCATTCTGCTTGACTTCTATATGCAAATTCTTTTTCAGAAATACCCCTTCCTGCCACCTCCACAGAAGCCCATGTCTCTCAGGATTATTGTAACTACCCATCTTCTCTCCTACCTTCAATCTATCTCCCATTCTATAGCCAGAATTAATTATATATTCATAAAATGCAGATCTGGTTATTTCATTTGTATGTAATTTTAGAGCATTTAAAATAATTCTAAATGCTATTTACTCACAAACAAAAATCAAATTTACCTAATGTTGAAAAAAGTGGCACTTGACCCTGAACCCCAGTTCATTATCAGCAGTGATAATGCCATAAAGCTTTTGTATAGCTTTTATGTATAATGCAACACAGTTTCAGATGTTCCTTGATTATATGTTCATACTTGCTGAACAAGGATAATTATATATAGCCTGGCTGGTGTGGTTCAGTGACTGAGCGTTGACCCATGCACCAGGAGGCTGCCAGTTCAATTCCTGGTCAGGGCACATGCCCAGGTTGTGGGCACAATCCCCAGTGGAGAACATGCAGGAGGTGGCCAATCGATGTTCTCACTTATTGATGTTTCTATCTCTCTCCCTCTCCCTTCCTATCTCTAAAATCAATAAAGAAAAAAAATTTTTAAATAATAATTATATATAGTACTGAGAATAATGACCTTCCTTCAAATAGCTCTTGAAGAATTCCTTCTGAACTTGTGAAAAGTTTAATCACATTCCATTAAAAATCCTATACTCTGATCAAGCGTAGTAATAACTACTTAATTTATGGAAGCAAAGACTTGATTTTTTCCCCCACTAAAATGATTTTTGTAACAAATGCTTATTTGTATGTTTCTAAATCCTTTCCTGGATACACGGAGCAATGGAACTAAACCAGTAACATTTTCTTTTTTTTTTTTTAATCCTCACCCGAGGATATTTTTTCCATTTTTTTGTACAGATGGAGTGGGAGGGAGGGAGAGGAAGGGAGAGAGAGAGAGAAACATCGACGTGAAGGGACACATCGAGTGGCTGCCACCCGCACGACCAACCAAGGCCGGGGACAAACTGCAACCAAAGTACGTGCCCTTAGCGGGAACCGAACCTGGGTCTCTCCGGACCGCAGGCTGACGCTCTAACCGCTGAGCCAAACTGGCCAGGGCTAAACCAGTAACATTTTCACATCAAGACATTTTATAAATGTTATAAAGGTTTGTCATGGATATGAAAATGAAATTTCTATGTTTCCAATTTCTTTATTCTAACTTATTGTATAATTTATAAGCTTCACTAGAACCCTTTTTAAGGTACAGCAGAATCTATTATCTGGGTTGCTTTTTAGATACTTTCAAATTAATCCAGTGCTATAAATGAGTTCCTTAATCTGGGTTACCCAAGGAAACTCAGAGGGCAGGTCTAGAAAATAACAGAAAGGTAACCTGTGTCCTATAATTTCTTCCTCTTTTCCTCTGTCTTAATCTCTACTGTAGCATTATACTTCTAAGAATATAATTATCAAAGAAACACTCATATGGGTTACTTCCCTAGGATCTGTATCTCTTTGAGATAAAATCAGCAATCAATCATGAACAGAATTCTAAAATTCAAGGTTTTAAACTCCCATAAAAGTGGAGAAGTTATTTATTATAAATTAATTCTCATATTATTCTTTAGACTTAATTCAACAGCACTCAGAACAATAATTCCTTAACACTTATCATACCTGCCTCAGAAGTGAATTCACAGAAGCACAGAGATTGGAAGAGTTTGCAGAATTAAACATTTTTCAGCAATCAGTACTGCTGTGACAACTTTTCACCTGTTTTTCCCCAATCAAGATCAAGCTGTTTTCAAATGTAGAATTGCTGTCAGTATATCCAAGGACAGAAATAGAATAAAACAACAGAGGCATCTAGGGCACAAAATTTAATGAGGCCCTCACTCATCAATCCCACACTTGGACACGCTGAAAGTGCCTATTTAAATTCTGTGCCCTCGCCCAGCTGGTGTGGCTCAGTGGATTGAGAGTTATCCCATGGACTGGGTCCCGGTTTGATTCCACCAGGGCACATGCCTGGATTGTGGGCTCAATCCCCAGGGTGGGGCAGCCAACTCATGTTTCTCTTTCACATCAAGGTTTCTGTCTCTCTAAAAAATCAATAAAAACATATTTTAAGTCGGTCTGTGGTCCAGAGAGACCCTGGTTCGGTTTCCGCTAAGGGCACGTACCTCGGTTGCAGTTTGTCCCCGGCCCTGGTTGGGTCGTGCAGGAGGCAGCCACTCGATGTGTCCCTTTCACGTCGATGTTTTTCTCTCTCTCTCTCCCTTCCACTCTATCTAAACAAAACATCAAAAAATGTCCTCGGGTGAAGATAAAAAACAAGTGGCTGCCTCCTGCACAACCCAACCAGGGCTGGCGACAAACTGCAACCAAGGTACGTGCCCTTAGCGGGAACCGAACCCGGGTCTCTCTGGACCACAGGCCAACGCTCTAACCGCTGAGCCAAATTGGCCAGGGAAAAACAAAAAACATATTTTTTAAAAAAAATCTTTGCCCTAGATATCTTGCTCATCACTCCCTGGTCTTGGTTCTGCTATTATTCTAGTATATTTGTCAATGTTCAAAGAAAAACTAATTTTTTTATCTGTCTAATTTCAACTAAGCTTAAAAAAAATACATATTTTTAAGGAGGGGTTACATTTTATACTTTGGTTTAAAAGGGTTTAAGAAAGCACTTAGTACTACTTATGTAATACTTCATCAACTACACTCAATAAGAACGCCCAAGTAAATAGTTAGGTGTGTACACAGTGTTTGAGGATGTGAGAGAAAGCACTGTTTCTCATTTGGTGATTAACAGAGAAAGTAAACTGTTCAAATTAATTCTAAGCCTTACATGAAATGTTGTGCTTTTAAATAACTTCAGTTATTAAAACAACAATTGTACAACTAAAAGAACCATTATTCCAAAATCTGGAAAGAAAAAAAAACATTTCCAGGCTAAATTAATTTAAGAAAACAATCTCATTTGCTTAAGGGGTTCCCCCCTTCTCTTTTTAAATCCCCAGCCCAAAAGGAAAAACAAAAGAGAATTCTAAATCAAACTCAAAGCACTGATTTGAGGATTAGAATACTCATAAAACACAAAGGTAATTAAATTAAAATCTTAGAATTGTAACTTCTGAAGTAAAAATACCAATTAAAATATAATCTCTTTTCATCTTGCTTACTAAAAGTTATTCTTACCAGATAAAGCAGAAAGGTGTGCAGCCCTGTTCCAAGCCCAACAGAAGACAAAATTCCTAAGCCTATCCAGTAGGCATACAAAAGAAACTGTTTCTCTATACGTTGCACATACTAAAAAACAAAAAGGATGAGATGAGAAACCAAAATCAGAATTTTTAAACCATAATGTATTTATCAATTACAGTCAAAATAAGATAAACCAACTAAATAAGTTTCCAGTAGAAAGTATTAATATTAAAAACCCTTTGAAGGAGACTAATTCCTTTAATATGCAATAGCAGATATAGCAAAAAATTCATCTAATTGGAATAAAGCTCTTGTTTCTAGACCCTTAAAACTCTACTATCGCAGTGACATTTATAGCAAAAATGCTAGTTACTAGTAAGATAACTATAGGAATACAAATTTTCGCCCTGTAGGTGTAGTTCAGTGGGTTGGGCGATGTCCCATGGACTGAGAGGTCCCAGTTCAGTTCCCAGGCAGGGCACATGTCAGGGTTGGGGGCTCGATCCCCACTAGGGGGCGTGCAGGAGGTAGCCGATCAATGTTTCTCTCTCACATCGCTGTTTTTATCTCTCTCCTTTCTTCTTTTCTCTAAAAAAATCAATAAAAACATATTTAAAAAAAGAATAACAATTTTCAAGATATTTATAAGTTACAAAAACTTAAAGTATGATAATATACTGTGGTAAGAGATGGATATTTATATAGTATTTATGAATAGAATACAGGATTCTTGTTTATTCAAGTAAAAACTTGATAATAAATGATAATAAAATTATTTTATGTATATTTAAGGCCAAGATGCTTTTCAAACAGGAGCAAACTGAAGTCCCCTGGAATATGGACTTACTGGAAGAATAGTAGACTACAGTCTCTCACACTGGCAAGTAAAATTTATCAAGACAGTTCCCTGCAAATTCTTAATAGCACACAGATTTCTACAAAATATTTTTAAAAATATATTTAAAACTATAATAATTGGCCCAGCCGGTGTGGCTCAGTGGTTGAGCATTGACCTATGCACCAAGAAGTTGCCAGTTCGATTCCCGGTCAGGGCACAAGCCCAGGTTGTGGGTCAAACACCCAGTGGGGCATGCAGGAGGAAGCCAATTGATGTTCTCTCTCATCGATGTTTCTCTCTCTCTAAAAGCAAAACAAAACAAAAAAACCATAGGCAAAGGAACTTCCCTTTATATATATATATAAAACCTAACCTTCAATCTAGGATGAGTATATGTGTTTGGATGGATCACAGGAATGTGTTAAAGAAAATATGAAGACTTTGGTAGTGAGGAAAGGATCATGCTGGTTTGACTAAAAACTATCAGGAAAGTTACATTTAAATCCTAAAAGCTCAAAAAGGATGATATATACCAAATATAAATGCTGAGCAGCCATGAACTGCCACAACAGTATTTTAAATATCTGGCCTTAAAAGTACATTATGAAACCAGTTATGAGATCAGTTGAAAAAACAAAACCAAGCCTAAAAATGCTGAGGGTAGAAATTCTATGAAACCCACAGAGTTCCATTTGGAAACTGTCTGGGATTAGGAAAGGTACAAGAACAGCATCAGAGTTACTGCATCTCTTACCTGTTGATGTGCTCCTTCAACATAATACGTAGCTATAAGCACAGCAAGCAGCAGTAAACAAGAGACCACAATGTTCTGACGATGCCATAATCTTAAAAACATATTTAAAAAAATAAATGAAATATCTCAGTTTCATTTTCAGGATTCATCATTTTCAAAACAATGTCTTGCTGAAGCAGTTAGGTTATTTAGTTCAGCTACAGTATCAGTTCTTTCTGGGATGAGCTCTTTTGTCCTTAAACACTATAGTCTCTTGGTGTATAGAAGGGGGTCAAGGGAAGATACATGGGTATAGAACTCAATTTCTTTCCTTTGTCCAGACTGATCTTGTTTACACCAAACTCCTAATTGGGAAAAGCATTATAATATAATGGAAAGAGTATTGGCCTTCAAGTAAGAAGACTTGGGAGTCCTAAGTCTCTTACTGTGCTTTGAGTAAGACACTTAACCCATCTGATTGTTTATTTACCTTCTTGTTCTACCCTCTTTGTGGAGTTGTTTTAAGGATCAAATGAACTAAAAAAAAGCTACAAAATGTTTTATAAACTATAAGTACAACAAAAATGCAGGATAATATCACAGATAATAACTCGGAAAGGCAAACCAAAAAATGATAAGGCATGTAAAAGTTTAACTTGCTCTTTTTGATATCTGAAATAGGGCTTGTAAGCACTAAGTTTAAAGACAGAACACATTTCCTTGACTGAGTCCTTTCTCATTGGCTCAAACTATCCGTAACAGTGCCACATATCCTGAACCTTGTCCTACTAAAGAATCAGTGTATCCAACGTACAGAGGCCTTTCACCTGAAGGTAAAGCCAGAAGGAACAGAAATCTCATTTTCGAGATTCTACTTTGCATAAAAGAGTCAACATGAGACAGTGGTCAACTGTAAATAATCCAGTGAGCAAATAGCAGTATGTTTTCTTAACCTATTTTTCTTCAAACTATAGAAAGAAAAATAAATGTTCCTGTAACATTCTAAATTTAATTAATTCATTTGATAAAGCAGGTGGTAGGAACTAGGAGATTACTGAAGATTTCTAAAATTAGTAAATAAGGTTTATACAAAAGGTAATGGAAGACTCTTTACTTTGAGGTCCATTCCTTCAAGATTTCTAGGGTTTCCAGAGAAAAATACTGCAAGGTAATGAGTGGCTGTCTCCACAGGACAATATTCTGCCTTTCTTCCCGATCCCTCTTCTTCTTTTCATTCATTGAAGAGGGGTCTGAAAAACATTAGTGCAGCAGTTAAAACAAAATGCTAGCTTTTTCATTCACTTTTAAAATCCATCTGTCTTCCCACCCCACATTTGCAGGACTGTGTATAAACCTCAAGGAACAATGTAGTTCACACTGTGACAATGGGCTAGGTGCTTCTGCTCTACTCTTTTTTTATCCTCACCCGAGGACATTTTTCCATTTTTTGTTCAGAAAGAGTGGGAGGGAGGGAGGGAGAAAAGAAGAGAGAGAGAGAAACATCGACGTGAAAGGGACACATCGAGTGGCTGCCACCCACACGACCACCCAGGGCCAGGGACAAACTGCAACCAAGGTATGTGCCCTTAGCGGGCACTGAACCCGGGTCTCTCTGGACCATAGGCCGATGCTTTAACCGCTGAGCCAAACCATCCAGGGCTACTCTTAACGTTATTATGCAATTATTTTATTGTCAGAACACAAGTTTCTCTTTTGTACATTATAAAATACTAAATCATCACACCTCTATAAAGGGCAATTTAGCATCATATCACGGAGTAAAGTGGTTTAGAGCTCAAAACTGAAGGCAAACCACATAGTTCCAAATCTTTGTTTTGCCACTTACTAGTCACTTGACCTTGGGCATGTGGGTTAACTTCTCTATGCTTTGGTTTTCTCTTCTTTGAAATGAAGATTAAAATATTACTTACTTTAGCCCTGCCTTGTGGCTCAGCGGTTAGAGCATCGGCCCATGGACCAAAGGGTCACACGTTCAATTCCAGTCAAGGGCACATACCTGGGTTGCAGGTTTAATCCCAGGATGCCATAGGTGTTGTGCAAGAGGCAACCAATTGATGTGTCTCTCTCACACTGATGTTTCTCTGTCTCGTTCTCCTTCTCTCCCTTCCTTCCACTCTATTTAAAAATCAATGGAAAAATATCCTCCAGTGAGTATTAACAACAACGACAACAAAAAAGTCCTTACTCTGTAGGGTTATTATAAAGATTAAATGAATTAATATATGTAAAGCCCTCAGAAGTTTGACACTTAGTAAGCGCACAATTAAAGTTAGTTATTATTGTTATCATCTTTCAAAATTACAAATGCTTGTAAGTAGTCTAGTCCCTCCCTTATATGTGGTTTCACTTTCTTCACTTTTAGTACCCATGGTCAATCCTGGTCTTTTTCATACAAAAAGATTAACAAATAATAATCTTATGCCTAGAATACTCAATGTGACTGTGGCCAGGCTGCTTCTGCTATCACTGTGAAAAATCACCTTATAGGCTCTGACCCATAATTTAATTAATTAATTAATTTAAAATATTTTACTTTATTAATTTTAGAGAGAGGGGAAAGGAGAAGGAGAGAGATGGAAACACCAATGAGAGAGAACATTGACTGGCTGCCTCCTGCATGCCCCCACTAGGGATTGGGCTGACAACCTGGGCACGTGCCCTGACCAGGAATTGAACTGGCAACATCTTGGTGCATGGGTCAATGCTCAACCAGTGAGTCACACCAGCTGGGCCATAATTTAATTTATTATGAAGAATAAACAAAAGATGCCCAGGCCAGTTTGGTTCAGTGGTTAAGAGTTACAGGTTGGATTCTAGTCAAGGGCTTGTACCTTGGTTGTGAGTTCGATCCTCAGCCCTGGTCAGGGTCCTGCAGAAGACAACCAATTGATGTGCCTCTCTCACATTGATATTTCTTTCTCTCTCTCTCTCTCTCTCTCTCTCTCTCCCCCTCCCTCCCTCCCTCCCTATCTAAAAATCAATGGAAAAATGTTGTTGGGTGAGGATTTAAAAAGAAACTTGTATTATTAAAAAGAGTATTATTCTATTAACAAGATAACAAGTAATAGATATATTACATTTTATTCTGATGAAAAAGATATTATTTAAACACATAGATCCTCTCCCGCCAAACCAGCCTACAAAACACCATACGTTACCTGTGAAGTTTCCATTATATTGTTCCTTGTTCATTGCTACACGTCTCTGGTCACAATTTTTTCCATTCTCTGCCATTTCATAGATCAATAACTCTTGAGGAGCTAATAAAGCAAAATAAAATCCAGTGATACATTACATAATTCTGCTTTGCACCTATAACTAAATAAAACAATACAGAAACAACATGGAGGTAATACCACAAATGCTATTTGAACAATGTGTTTACTGTTTTTATAGTTGGGGTAAAGTTAAAAGAGATCATAAGAACGGGACCCTAATCCAATAGAACTGGTGTCCTTATAAAGGTGAAAAGAGTCTGGCTGGTGTGGCTCAGTGGTTGAACATCGACCCATGCACCAAGAGGTTGCCAGTTTGATTCCCTGTCAGGACACATGCCCAGGTTGTGGGCCAAATCCCCAGTGGGGAGCATGCAGGAGGCAGCCAGTCAATGTTCTCGCTCATCGATGTTTCACTCTCTCTCTAAAATCAATAAAGGAAAAAAAAAAAAAAAGGCACTGGCTAGATAGCTCAGTTGGTTAGAACATCAACCCGATACACCAAAGTTTTGGGTTTGATCCCTGGTCAGGGCACATACAAGAATCAACCAATGAATGCATAAATAAGTGGAACAACAATCAATGTTTCTATCTTTCTCTCTAAAAATTTAAAAAGAGGTGAAAAGAGACACCAGACACCTCTCTCTGTCTCTCAGCATGCACACAAAAAAAAGACCTGCTGGGGACTCAAGAAAGCTGCCGTCTACAAGCCAGAAAGAGAGGACTCATCTGAAACCAACCCTGCCAGCACCTCAATTTTGGACTTTGACTCCAGAACTGCGAGAAAACAAATTTCTGTTGTTTAAGTCAACCAGTCTATAGTATTCTGTTATGGTAGGCCCTAGCAGACTGATACAATGCTGATTAGTATAAACAAGGGAACCACATTACAGGATAGTAGTATTTTCCTTGGTAATATTAATACATTGGTATTCTAGCTTGTGAATTTGACTAGAATAATTCCATCCTCTGCAGTCAATTCAAATATATTTACTACTTCAAATTTATAAACTAAAAAGCTGAGAATCAGACATGGAAATTTATACCAAGATCCAGGTGCCCCAAGTGGACTTAACTGTATAAGCTTGACTCTACCCAGGAAAACACCCTAAGCACTTTATTGCATGTGTCTTCAAACCGCAACAGCGACTACTCAATCTAGTGTTAACATATCCTATTAATCTTACTCATCATCATTTTCCATCATCATAAAAGGAATAATTTTACAGGGAAACACCAAAACGTGGTTCCCCAAAGGTGCCAAAATGTCTGACTGACTTGACACCATATTAGGGCAAGCAGCCTTTGGACTAGGTACTTCACATGTACTCCACACACTGGGGCCTATTCCAATTCTTTTCTCATTCTCAATTGAAAGTAGTTTTATTTCTCAGAGCTTAAAGAATCCTACCAGCATCATGTACTTACTAGCTGCATGACTTGGGTAAATAATTTAAGCCTTTGCATTTGAGTTCATTTGTACACTATCTCCATTTCTATTTTCATGTCTTCCTTAATTAAAGTTTTTTTGTGTTGATTTGGGGGACTCTCAGGAATTTAGTTTCTCTACTTCAAGAAACATTATACTATAATTTTTCTGCAGTGACTGGCACATAGGAGGCATGTAATGTAAGTTTATTCATGTTCTTTTCACGAATGTCACAATTTTCCAAAATAATCATAGTGAATTCTACCCTGAGCATTCACTTACAGACACTTGTTTTCCATATTTCTATACTATACATGAACCTGCATAACTGGTTTCCACAGAAGCATCCACAGAATCAGAAAAACCTTAATTTGTTATGATGGATAACAAAAAATGAATTACTTATCTCATTAATCCAAACATTTTGAAAAGCACTAAAAGGACAATTTGTTAAAATGTATTATGGAATTAAAAAGGCCCTAGCATATCTATGCAGCTAGGGTAAGATGAAGTAATTTTTAAGGAGAGCCACTTTTCACAGTTGAAGGCAGTAGCATTAATTTTGGAAATCTGTGATGAAACAATATCAATCAGACTCGTGTATGTGGGAATAAATCCAAAAAATTCCTAACCTGTTTAAAGGATTGAAATCTTCTCAAATAGGAATCTAGCATATCTTCCTGATATTCAATAGCGCTTACTTTGCAATGAAAGTGTAATATCAATTTTAACAGCATGTATCAAGAATTAAGTTATTGAAATAAAGATTTAAAAAAAGAATCAAGTTATTGAAATAAACTAGAGATTTGTGGATGGAATGAGAAGAAAGAAATAGGAAAGAAGCCTAACTCAAACATTAAATATAATTTTCATTGTGAAGATATATCTAGATGCAAGAAATGCTTAAAAAGTTGTAAAATACAGATTTTAAACACAGCTGAAGCATTCAAAATAAAAGGTTTGTATTAAAATATGTGGGCTTTTTTGTTTGTTTCTGGTAGAAATCCTTAGAAAATAGTGCTGAGTAGGCTATATACCCAGTGCCAAGACTATAATACTTCATTCATTTTAAACATTAGCTACACTTGTAACTAAAACAATGTGAAACTAAATTACTGAGTTCCTCAAAGCAACACAAAACACATTTAAAAATTAAATAAAAAGAGCAACTCCTTGGGTAATATAAGAGTTATTGGAGCCCTCGCTGTTTTGGCTCAGCAGTTAGAGCATTGGCCCATAGACCAAAGGGTTTCAGGTTCAATTCCTGATCAAGAGCACATATCTGGATTGCAGGTTTGATCCCAGGTCCCAGTCGGGGTCATTCTGGAGGCAAGCAGTTGATGTGTCTCTCTCACATAGACGTTTCTTTCTCTCTCTCTCTCTCTCTCTCTGTCTCTCTCATTCTGGAGGCAAGCAGTTGATGTGTCTCTCTCACATAGACGTTTCTTTCTCTCTCTCTCTCTCTCTCTCTCTCTCTCTCTGTCTCTCTCATTCTGGAGGCAAGCAGTTGATGTGTCTCTCTCACATAGACGTTTCTCTCTCTCTCTCTCTCTCTCTTCCCCTCCCTCCATCCACTCTGACTAAAAATCAATGGAAAAATATCCTCAGGTAAGGATAAACAACAAAAAGAGGATTAACAACAAAGAGTTACTGGAGAATTTAACAAGATGAAAAGGACAAGCAAATAAGATCAGTGAAACCATTGATTCTAATTTTCCTGGCCACTGTGTTCCAAATGAAATGAACACACTTCTTACAAAAATAATCTATCCAAATGATTCTACTTTTTCACAAGAATATTAAGTTGGCTTTCTCAATAAAACACATTGCTTTTCATACAAGGCATAAAAGGCAGCCAGCAAACCTGATTATTATATGTTTCTTGCTTTCAGAAGTGCCTTTCCTTATTAACAGGATTATTTGGTATATTTAGTCACAGACTATTCCAAAATAGCTGTAGATTTCTCTAAAACTATTAAGATTAAGAAACTGCAATTTAGCCCTGGCCGGTTTGGGTCAGCAGTTAGAGTGAAGGCCCTCGGACCAAAGAGTGCTGGTTTGATTCTGGTCGAGGGCACATACCCTGGTTGCTGTTCGGTCCCCGGCCATGGTTGGGGTCGTGTGGGAGGCAACCAATCAATGTGTCTCTCTCACACAGATGCTTTTCTTTCTCCCTCCCCATCATACTCTGTCGGAAGATAAATGGAAAAATATCCTCAGGTGAGAATTTTTAAAAAAAAGAAAGAAAAGAAATTGCAATTGATTCTTGGTAACTTAACAAATAATCTAGGTGAAGAGTAATATATCTTGACTAGTGAGGTTTTGATACAGCATTCCACCTATACAAAGCTAAAAAACTAAAGATAATTCAAACACCATGCACAATATCAAAGTAACTATCAGATGATCTGATTCTGAGAGCCAGATTGTATCTAGCACATGGTTGTGATGGTTAAAAAATGTATTCCTGGAAAATTCATTATTTGAATGAGAATATATGAAAAAAGTTCATTAAATCTTTTCTTTCCCAATCTTCACCCGAGAATATTTTTCCATTTATCTTAAAATGGTGGGTGGGGTGGGGGAGAAACATTGATGTGAGAGAGACACATCGACTGCTTGCCTCCTGCATGACCCTGACCAGGGCCAGGGATGAACTGTGACTGAGGTACGTGCCCTTGGCCAAAATCAAACCCTCAACTCTGGTCCACGGGCCAACACTCTAACAGCTGATCCAAACTAGCCAGGGCTCTTTGAATCTTTTTAAACTTTCTAAATGTTGGGGAATTTGACAAATTAAAACTCCAAGGTAGAATATAATTTAAAAGCATTCAAAAATCTCAATAAATCTCCCAATAATGGCTTAGCAGGTTACGAGGGTATAAATTTCTGGTCTAAACTGTTCCTCAACTTAATTTAACGAAGTGTAAAATACATTCAACTTCGCTTGCAGTTTGGCCCCGGCCCTGGTCGGGTCATGCAGGAGGCAACCAGTTGATGTGTCTCTCTCACATCAATGTTTTTCTCTTTCCTTCCCTTTCCCACCCTCCCATTCTATCTGATAATAAAACAGAAAAATATCCTTGAGTGAGGATTTTTTAAAAAGCAAATTTTGAACCATGCAAAAAATTCAATTCCAAAAAGATTAAAGACTTTACAGTCAAAAAGCAAAATTTTTAGAAGAAACCATAAATATATTTCTGCCTTGGGGTAGGAAAAGATTCCTCAAGATATGCAAAAGAGCTATCTATAAAGAAAAAGACTAATAAATGGACAATATTATAAAGAAAACAAATTCACCACGCACTATCTTTTTCAAAAAATTATTTATTTTTAGAGAGGAAGGGAGAAGGAAAGACAGAAAAACATTGATGTGAGAGCAAAACATCGATTAGCTGCCTCTTGCATGTCCCCTAGCAGGGATGGTGCCAACAACTCAGGCATGTTCCCTGACTGGGAATCGAACCAGCAACCTTTTGGTGTATGGGACTAACTGGGCCACACCAGCCAGGGCCATCATAAGCTATCTTAAGTGAAAAGATAAATGACAAAAATACATAATTGAAAAAGACTAATAGGAAGATTATAGTAAAAATTTTAAATATTAAGAAAAAGA